ATAAAATCCCATTTCAGAAAATCATTATAGTTCCTTTTTGGTTTTTTTTGTCCCTGCAGTATGTATAAGATAATTTAGAATGATGAAGCTCTCCAGGTATTAAGCAGTTTTGTTTCAAGTGCATGACCTAGGATTCTATTAATGATCAGTTCTGACCCTTACACCTCCCCATAGACTCCTAGAGATAATGAGAAGGGCAGAGAATTATTGATCGAAACTAATGTGGCTTCCTTGTAGATCCTGAGTTTCTATGTTAAACAAAATCAATCAATGCCAACTGAAAAGCATGTTAATCATAATGTATGAACAACTTATACCAACTAACATACTATTGAAAACAATATTGCTACAATACTTAGAAAAGCAATTAAATATTATTAAAACTTTAAGAGTAAAATAAACAACAAACAAACCACAGTTTGATTTATAACATAAATTGTCTGAATACTTTGAATTAAGTTACCTGAGCTCCAGCTAGTCTAAATTTAAGAATTTTGGATATCAGGATTGACCTCTTAGGATTTTTCATAGCACCTAGTGGACATAAAAGTAACCAGTCCCCAAATCCAGAGCATAAGAATCTTCTAATCACAGAATTCAGGTAAGCAAATTAACAACTGCCATCCTAATTTTCTCAAGCAATTAAACTACTTCTCTCATCACCTGTTTCTATTTTCTGGAGAAAATTGCAGTTTATTTTTTAGCTATAAACATATATTGGACAGAAGTACTGGAATCTATTAAATATTTAAATGTTCATTCCATACTTCTCAGGATGCTCTACTTGTACTTTATGAAACACTTTGGCATAACAAATCTTACTTTCAGATATACACAACTTTTGTGAAAGAACACAAATCATGGGTGCATCTGTACACAAACTGTTATCAAAGCCTTTTTTTGCTTGCTTTAAAACAAGTTTAAATTAGCAAAAGTACTGTACAAAAATAGAGAATAATTGCTATCTTCCAATCTCTTACAGGCTCCAGCTTAAAAACTGATAAAGCTTGACCAACACACAGGGAAATTACTCTGGTGATAAACCAGATGTTATGCTGAAACAAAATATCTTAGTAATGGAACTGAGGTAATTTCTATGGAATTTGATCTCAAAAAAGGGACTAGGGAACATTAGTAATAAATAATAATAATAATATAATGAAAAGTGCAGGCAAACTACTGTCATAATACCACAGAACCAACATTCATGAATAAAAATTACATCACAACCAAACATACCAAATATACATTATGACTCTGTGGGTGTAGAAATGAAGCAATCAACACTAAATCAAGCTTTAAATCAGGGTGAATATTGATGCCATTTTTTCAGAATACATTAGCAATCTGCCATATTTAAAGACTGCTAGAAAAAAAGTACAAAGTAATTCAATCCTCTCCATCACAGGGAAACATTTCAAGAAAAATCTCTGTTCTTTATGCTCTGCTCAGACCAAGTCCTAAACACTGCATTTTCATTTCTATGAATTCCAGTTTTACCTAGGTGACATTCACAGTCTTTCCTTTCTTAGGAAAAGACCTTAGGTGATGCAGCACTGGAAAGCAGAGCGGACTTGGGTAATCAACTCAGGACTTACTCTAAGAGCTATGTTGACAAGTGCAATCTTACACAATGTTTGTGAGGTTTAAGAGCCCTTAAATTACTTACTCCTTTTGCTGCAAGAATTGACTCTTGCATTTCACACCTCCAGGAATTATACTGCATAACTGAATATATTCTAAGGTACTTCTCTCCGCTGAACAACGAACAAATGGTAGCCAGGTACAACATGATGTATTTTAAGGTTGTAAAAATTACCAGCTTGGTACTGAATTTTCAAACCACTCTCCTGCTAGAAGCTGTAACACAATTGTCAGCTAACATTTTCTTGTTAGTAGGTTAGGAGGTCATACTTAGTATGCCTGCTTCCTCCACAAATGATTTTGCATTAATTATTAAAAGTCTAAGGTCTAATTCTGCTGCCTTTACTTTAAAAATAATGTCATTAAAATCAAGGCTATATAAAGAATAAAATGAAAAGAACCAAGTTTTTGAGTTTTTTTTCTTTTAGATAGCAGAAATGGAATCTCAAATAGCAGTTATATTCTTAACATGAAGTATAATATAAATAAAGGAAAATTTGCAAAAGTACATTCCACATCCTATTTAAGAAAGTTCAGAAGATTATTTATTTTTTTTGTTGGGAAAATAGGATGCTTTATTGTAAAAAAATCCAACAAACAAACAAACCAGCAATTATGTTAGTTGTTACATTCCTAAAACAGCTGTATTTGTCTTAATATCAGAGATAAAACTAGTTTTTCTTAGACATAATTTTATGTTGCTTTCATGTCATGTTCAGAATAAAGCATTAAGTAGTTGTGTCTGAAACATTTCATTCTAGAAATGAAAAGTCACTATATATTCTTTAAACTACATACCTGGTAGATTCACAGATGGACACTTGTCAGTCAATGGCCAATTTAGATGCCAGCTTTACTTTCAAGTACAAGATTAGAGACACAAAAAAGTGCTCACATTGTCACTTATTGTGCTGATGGCATGTAAAACTACTTTTTTAACTTCATTCATGACAAAAACCTACAGATCACAGACTTGACTTTTCCCTTCATTTTAATCTGGGAGTCTGATACAGTTCTAGGTATCATCAACCTTTCTGAGCTCTGATTACGAAGCATCCCTAACAGTGTCCAGGAAAGCAAAGTAGCATGTCATACAGATCTTGAAGTAATCATTCCTAGCAAAGGGCTCAACATCTTAACTATAAACATTTCCCAAAATAATGAAGAATCATATTATTAGAACTATGTTATAGAACCATAGAATATCAGGTTGGAAGGGGACCTCAAGGATCATCTGGTCCAACTTTTCTAAGCAAAATCACAGTCTAGACAAAATGGCCCAGCACCCTGTCCAACTGAATCTTATGTGTCCAACACTAGGAAATCCACAACTTCCCTGGGGAGAATATTTCCATGGCTGATTGTTCTCATTTTTAAAAATTATCATTTTGTGTCTAATTCTAATGTCATCAGGAGTAATTTGTACCCATTATCTCTCAACTTTTTCATATGATTCTTTGTCAGCTTAAAAAATAATTAATTACAGTATTTAGATACAAACATTAAGGGGAAGCTCTGTTTTTCAACTGATGAACTTCCCACTTATTTTTCAAATGTTGAGTACCACATAAAGAACCTTCCCTGATTACACCACCTCTAACTACAGATCCTGTCATTCAGTTCTCTGTTTTTAAAAAATTATGATCAAGCAGATTGACAGCAAAAGCAGAATTTGAAAAAGACATATTCTTAATGAGTTCTCAAAAAAAAAAAAAAAGGAAAAAGTATTTTTAAATATCAGATTACCTCAAACCTTAAATTCTCAGAAAATAAGCTAATATAGTAATTGGAGGATGAGGTGCAGTCATGTCTTCTTACTGGCATGTACATTCCAGCTATCTATGATTCATCTTAAGACACTCACAGGTCTATTAAGCCATGACAGAGAAACAGTGAGTACCAGAGAGTTCCGATTTATCTGATTTATCTTAGGCACTTAGGGTGAGATAAATTACTCTGAGAAGGTGCCTTTTGTTTTCCACTGGGTATAAAGGAAAACTGGAGTTACTAACAACTAACTTTGGATACCCAAGTTACAGTAAATCAATCTCATCATAGGCCAAAACTGGCTGAGGAAAATTATGTTTTGTTCCCATCAGCTGGTGCAAAATTCTTTTTATCTCCTTAGAACTTTGTTGTGTTAAAATGAGAAATGTAAGTTGAATTTTTTTATTGCTAGTAAGTATTTTTCCTAAAGTTAAAACTATAAGTGACACAGTAAAAGCATTCCTTTCTTAACCAATTAAATCTTATGATCTTACAATAAAACAGGAAAGAAGAATTACTGGATACAGTATTATATTACGAAAGAGACAGCTAAGAAACTGTCTTACAGAGTACTAAAAACAGAAAAAGGAAAATGCAAAAATAGAATGTGCATGATGTTCTATATTTAGCTTTGCGGGTAGGCTCTGAAATCTCCTTTGAGCTGTCTTTGATAATCACTGGTACAATCAAATTCTGAGGCAACAGTAGGGTGTTCTCAGCAATGTTTTTATCTGTGGACTCAAACCAGCCAGTATTCAAAGGCAATCCATGAATTTCTTACAGTTCTATACATAAGCATCTTTTTTATTTTTTTTCACTTTTGTCAACTGAGCCTAGATCAAAACATACAATTTTGCATCACTGTTTTCAATATATCTCCAATTTCATTTTAAATATGAATGCTTTCTAAAAGCCTTGCAAGGCAGACCTATCTTGAAGATTGTCCCACTATTAACACAGCTGTAACAGAGAATTTCATTTGTCTCAAAAAATGATTTCAAAGTGAAACATTTTCATATCTCTCTGTATGTGAGCAGTTTTCCAGCTGCATGCTATCAGTGCATCTGCAGCGAATCTTACAGAATATCATTTAAAAGATAGAAGGAATGCTGGACATGTGAGGTGTATTCAGATACTATATTCCAACTACAGCATCAGTGTTTTCTTCAACAGCATTAAATATCACACATTAGCCTGCCAGTGGCATAAGACCCTTGAGGCTCTTTTGCAGCATTTCTTTTAATGTTATAAGGAATAAAAAGTAGAGAGAAAACGGATGCCATTTCACTGCTAATCCTATCACCAGATGCAAAATATAACAGCACCATGCCCTTAATATTCAACTGCATACCAAGCTAAAACAAAAGTAAAATTTCTAATTAAAAAAATGTAATTGAAATCTCTATACTACTAGTAAGTAATACTCTTTGGCTCAATTTCAATGGTATTGCCATTGCTAGTTGGGGCACATGAAAATTTCTTCCATAGAGTATTTTTTTGTTTGGTTGAGGGTTTTTTAAATGAGACAGTACCAGTTTACACCATTCTTGTATTGGCAGAAACTGATTGAATAGATTTTTGCTTCTTACCATCAACACATGCTGGCCTTGCTCTTGTTGTACCGGCAATCTGTCCTTTTTTACATGCACAGCGAGCTGTTTGTCGGGCTATAGTCCTTCGGGGCTGACTGCTATCTCTGTCCAAAGTAACAATCTCACATGTACCTGCAGCCAGTTGACCTGGAAAACAAACCAGCAACAGGTACCAGAGTCACTGAATGCACTACAGGCAATCTATTACAGCCGAATAGAGTCACGGCCCTAAGTCACAGCAGACACTCCACAACAAATGGGCAGCCAGCTGATGGATATAATAAAACTGAGAAGACATACAATTTTTCTTTGTGGTGGACATATGAAACCCCTGCAAACTGGTTCTGTCAGAAAATGATTATTGTTCCATAAAAGCCAGAGAGTTGAGGTTACACAGGTTACTTTTACTTACGTCGGCTAAGTAAAGGAACAATCGTTTACAGCAATGAAACTTAAATGGTGTGCTCTTTACATACTTTCAGAAAAGAAATTATAAAGTATATGGAAAATAAAAACTTCCCCATATGTCCATGAATACAGTGAGGTCTTAACTGCTTTGTGTGTTGGTTTTGAAGGAAAAAGTCTTTCAAAGTGTGTCCATGCTTGCCAAACTGTCAGTCCTTTGACTCTTGCTTCATCTAAACTGAATTCTCTACCTGACTCATATTTGATGTAGCTGTTAGTTTCTTTTTCTTTTAGTTTCTTTTTTTTTCTTTTACCAAATTTACTATTTAACAATTCTCCAAATGATTTAAATGATACTGCACCCTTAGCTCTGTAACTGTTTACTTTTTATTGACTTCTCCAATATATGTATCTTTTCCTGAATACTAAGGAAATACAAACCACCTAATTCTGAATTTGGACCATGCTATGAGAGGCAAAACAAAAAACACAAAAAATTCTTGTGTGAAAAATATTAGAATGAAGTAAATGCTATACATTTAAAGTTATGCACTTCCTCTGATAAAACCATAAACCAAAAGACTACCTTTTACATGCAAGAAAGACATTATTGAATTACAGTGTGCAGAAAGACTGAAAAAGCCTCCCAGCTATCACTTAGTATTGCATGTAATTTCTGGGGGTTATGGTGCAGCAATAAACATGTGCAACAGTACATCTGCAAATCACAAGCTGGCTATATTTTGTTTTTACCAAAAAAAAAAAAAAGTGAACAAATGCAATATTCTTTTTAGAAAAAAATTATGCAGTTTAAAACATTAGTCACAGTATTTTTATGCAGCTGAAATACTGAAAAAACCCCTATGAGACAAAAAGAAGAAATTCTAAATCTATATAGACATCATAAACAAAAACAAACAAAAAATCAAAAACAAACAAAAAAACCCTGAAACATATATGAATGGTCTGTAAGTCTAACAGTACAATGCTATTTCTCTAGGCTGCATTTTTTTCATTCAGAATACAAGTTTGCCCAGCCTATTCTTCTCAGAAGCAGCTTACGATGCTTATTGTGCGGAACAGAAAAACATTGTAGCTCATCCCACATATATGACATAAATATTTTCTGGCAATTGTGTCGCAGGGTGCAAAGATTTCAGGTATATTGAGCACTGCAGCACAGCGTACATCCAGTGTTACTTGGCTTTAGATGGCTGTAAAGTATGAGAAGTAGTATTTAAGGTTATGGAAGACCATCTCCAGGGATGGAGTCATCTTGGTATAAAGCATGTCCTCTCTGCCTTTCAGTAGGTAGAGGGTAAGTCTACAGGAGTACCTTACGTAGTTAACATGAATGCTACTTTGGCTTTTTAACAGTTGTTTAATCTGGAAACATAAGGTCCAAAATAATGGAACAAAATGAATATGCTTCTTGTAAGTACTGAGTTACAAAAACTAGGATACCTTTCCTTTTCAGGGAAGTTAACATAGTGACCTCTTTCAAAGATAGTAATGAAAAAAGGCTGTTCAACTGAGAGCCTTGGAACACGCTCCACTTCATTCCTGAGACCAGAGAAGAAATTTCAAGGCAGCAGTGAGTAGAGTTTCACTGGAGCTTTTCCAATTGAGAGATTAAGAGCCACAGTCTACAAACAGTCATAAAGACTCCATATTTTCATTATATTTTCTTTGTGTACTTGCAGTAAACAAAGAAATTCACCACCTTCCAACCTGAACAAAATAATCTTGGCAGAAGAAAAGACAAGCATCATCAGAGAACTCGGAGCCTTGTCTAAAATTTTTTTCCCAAGAAAAAAAATGTCATTTTTTACTAGTATGAAGGTTGCTACAGAATTACCATAATCCAGTTTTCCAAGCAAATGAGTAGGTATTTCTTTATTCTTGCTATTTTTATGATATATATAAAAATATTTTATACTTGATAAATATCTATTTTATAATTTTAATCCAGTAATTAAGACCTCCTTGGCAATTTATTTGATTTTGTGTTGTCACCATCTGATTACTAAACAGAGAAAAGTTTCAGATTCTTTAATGCTCTTCTCTAGTGTTATACTGCATTCTTAAAATGCCAGCTGATCTCTCCCCTCTCTCTACCACCACAATCACAAATGCTTCTATATGGAATTATTTCAGGAAAAAGGAAAGCCACGGGATTCTGAATTAAAAATGCAAGTCAAAGTAAACCAAAATAAAAACAATGCTCAAATGCTAACATTTTAAATACAACAGGTTTGGGCTTTTGGCTTTTAGTGTGAAATTGTTTACAGTAATTGCTGTAAACAGAACCTCTTTTGCTTTTTTCTAAATGAAATCCAACTGCGATCAGTCCTGAAACTGCTCTTTGTGAGACTTCCATGAAGTATGTAGAAATCAGTGAGTATAGGTACATATATTTAGCAAATGTTCAGGATGTCTCAAGGTAAAACAAACATATTTTTAAAAGATCTTTAGTACTTACATTCTTGAAATAAAAGAGTTTGATATGGAAAAGTTTAAAAGTAAATGGCATTTTTCATGTTGATTACTAAGACCTCTCTGTCAACCATATGCCACTGCTGAAAGAGCAATGATATTGAAAGACTTTGATATTGTTTGTCATCGGTAAAACCCTTAAATAGTAAATACATTTGTACTTCAGTGCTTGGGATAACATTTTAATTTTCTGTGAATAAAAATATTTCTGTTCTCTAATAGAATACAAAAATCTACATATTCCACATTGACTACAGCAAGCAAGTTACAGATTTTTTTTTTTAATTTATGATTACTGAAAAACTTTACCAAAAATTCAATTAAAGAAATAAAATCAAATGATGAACTAATGGTATCTGTGGGTACAATGAAAGTAAGGCTTGATCTAAATATATAGGTCTTTCCAGGGGGTAAGATTTCATGCTCATCCATAAAATCTACTTTTGATTCGTACATGCAGGCTTATATTATAGTTTCAGTGAACAATTTTTCCATGCATCACCAATTTGATGCCTAGCAACACAAGCTCTTTTAGTTCAAAATGCATTAAGTTAGATGATATTAAAATTCTTGGCTAGATTCAGATACTCTTTTGTCAGTGAATACAATGCAGGAGTTGTTCCAAAATCAGATCATAGGAATACATTCAGTAGTTTTCTATTACAATATTGAAGTCAGAGCCATGCCAACTCCTGAGCAGAGCTTAGGACCAACAAATGCTACTGAAATAAGGGGAAACTTAAATACTTAGTGTCACTCATTATTTGCAGTTTGACATTAACCTGAGTAACAAATATTTAAACATAATGCAATTTAAAATATAAAAACCATATGTTTAAGTGGAATTTGAAATTTTTGTTATATATCCTTCCTCAAGGAGAATGTCCTGCAATAAGATCTCTTACACTGAACATGATACAATTTCAGACAGTCAGATTACCTTTTCTTTTCCAATTTTAGTTCAGAATGAGAGAGATTAATGACAAGGAATTGGTTTGCCCCAAATAACCACACTCACTTTTAAGCTACAATAGCAAAATTTCTGGAAATTCAACTAGCGTAAAATAAGAAAGAACAACTCCCACAACCCTCCCAAAAAAACGTATTTTATCTAAAGTAACAGAGTAGAATTGGCTCAGTCAGTATGGGGAAAAGCTGTTCAAATGAATCAGCACAATTTGAGAATAACTATCAAATAAGAACATTGTTTCAACTCTTACCTTATGTGATACAAGGGCATTTCAGATTTTTAATAGAAAAAAGTAATGGAAATACATTATTTCCCTTTCCTCTTATTAAAGTCAAGGACATGGAAAGCATTTGTTTCCAAAATCTTTCATATATCATTTAGGACCTTGTATCTTTTTATTAAAATAAATATTGTGGTTGTTTAAGTAGCAAGACTGCACAAAGCAATTTTTCATGCTAGTTGAGTTAGACAACCTGTTTAAAATATTCTTTATCATTTTTTCTTGAGGGTATGATTATGTTGTCAGTAGAAGAAGACAGAACCAATGTCACTGAAACAAAAAGTAACTAATTTGGAAAATCCTAATCTATTAGTGCAACCCACAGATGCCCAGTAAAGTAAAAAGCAGTATAATTTTTCCAGAACTTTCCATACATTTACTTCATTACAGCTTCAGAGCTATATTTGATGAAAATTGACCTTAATATATGACCTCTGTAGCTTCTCTGTCTTAAAGGGAGTGATTTTGGATTTTAGTGGTATAAAAGAATGGAATTTGTCTCAAAAGGTGTGGCTTTAGTTCTTATTTTATGAAGGAAAACTCACTGTAGAATCCAGCTAAGTAAAATTTATGAATAACAAGGGAAAAGTATGATGAATTACTTCTCCTTTAAAGAGTAAGTTTAAATATTTTTCAGAGTTCCACTGCAATGAAACAGTACATTATGTCCCCCTAGTAATTACTAATCTTATTGCAATTTTCAGACTACCACTTAGCCATCTCAAGCACATAAACAGCACAGACATTAGGAGGATAGGAAAATAGTTTTCAGCTCTTCCATTCTGATATAAGCAGTAAATTTTAATTAAGATAGATCCTAATCTAAATAGTTGCACAGGAAAGAAAATCAAGTCTGTGGAGATTCAAGATACATTCAGGGCCCATTTTGAGATTTCTTTTTTCCCTGATAAGGCTAACGCCCTAATTTATTGCACCTGATACTGCTATTGCATGTAATTGCTTAATATTTGGTTGTATAATTAAGAATAATTTCCC